GTTGCAGATAGTCTCTCCAGGTCGGGCTCCTGTGATAAAATAATGGCAATTTCTATGGATAATGCTTCTAGTAACACTAGTGCTATAGGCATACTTACAACAACACTAAATCCTGCATTTAGTAATTGTTTCCATGTGAGATTAATCGTCGGTGATGGTATGAGAATTTTAAATTTAGAAATTGAAAAGGTTAGAATGGCTCTTATTGGTGATGAAATCCTTACAAATCAAGATTGGACGAATGTCAAAATTCTTATAGATTTTTTAGAACATTTTCAAATTGCTACAAATGCATTTTCTGGACAATATTATCCTAATCTTTCAGTTGAGGAATTTTCTACACTTGCAGAGGCAAAAGCCTCAATTAAAATAAATGCGCAAACAATTTATAATGCTTACCAACTTGCGTTAGATCATGCTAGGCCAAATATTCCAACCCCTACTTCGTCTAGTTCACAATCATCTAAAAGAGCTGCGGGCCTACAAGCACTTAAATCTTGGACGGAGTTTAGGGGTTCTCAAGGTGATAATTTTGATGAGACTTCACATCTAAATGAGCTTCAAGTTTATTTGTTGCAGGGACTTGAAAAGGAGAATCCAGACGGCACCTTTGATCTTTTGGAATGGTGGAAGACAAGGGAAAAACATTTTCCGGTTCTTGCAAGGATGGCTCGGGATATTTTATCTATTCAAGCTTCAACAGTTGCATCAGAGAGCGCTTTCAGTCAAGCAAGACTTCAAATAGGTGATCATAGAGCGTCTATGAGGGAGAGCTTGGAAAAATCAGTACTATTCAGAGATTGGATCCGCTCGGAAAGAAGAAACTTTGGACTTGCAGAATCACAACCGGAGATAGACGAAGCTTATGAAGAAATGATAGCGGAACTTGCGGTATTAGAAAAATCAGTACTATTCTTTAGTTTTTTTTCCTTTTAATGGTGGTATTAGTACCTTGTTGTGCTCATTCCATTGGGGGGAAGAAGACTAAGAAAGATATGCCATTTTTTGTAATAAAAATTATAAAACATACCCTTGGCCTTGAATATCTCTTCGCAATATTTTTTTGTCTTTAACTTGCAATTATTTATAAGCTATAATATATATACATAACATACAATATATACTACAACAAATTATATAATGGAATATATATACATAACATACAATATATACTACAAGAAAATACATAAGGGAATATATATACATAACATACAATATATACTACAACAAATTATATAATGGAATATATATACATAACATACAATATATACTACAAGAAAATATATAAGGGAATATATATGCATAACATACAATATATACTACAACAAATTATATAATGGAATATATATACATAACATACAATATATACTACAAGAAAATATATAAGGGAATATATATACATAACATACAATATATAGTACACTATACTAGTATACTATATATATTATATTTACATGAAGAAGTAGTACTATATATACACTATACTAGTACACTATACTAGTATACTATATATATTATATTTACATGAAGAAGTAGTACTATATATACTACAAAACAAGATTTTTCAAAATGAGGGCCCCACCCCCAATGACCACCAACGGTCATATTAATTGCACAAATAGCCGTTTTTTTTTAAATTTACAAAACTAACCTTCTCTAACACTATAAGTACCCCCCTCCCTCTTCTTCATTTCAATACTCAATACTCATTTCTCAATCTAAATTTCTCTCAATCTCTCAATCTCCAATTTTCAAGACTTCAAGTCTCACTCAATTTTCAAGTTAAATCATGCCTCGTTCGGAAAGAGTGCGCTTATTTGTGTCGCAATACTATGAAGTGCTTGAAGAAAATGAAGAAGGCCAAATATTAAAGTGCAAGAACTGTGGAAGAGTCTTAAATTTTCGTTCAGGGTGTACCACAGGCATTTTAAGGAGGCATATAAAGTATTGTGTTGAGGGTATTTATCCGCAAATTCGTCTTTAAGATTTTTCAACAATTTGTGTTATTTTAAAATTATTAGACGTATTTATGCTTCATGTTGTACTTTGTTATTAATTTATTATGCATGCCAATTTAGTTTTACTATTGATTTGTTATTTTACATTTTCGTCAAACACTTTAATAATTAGATTTCTATATTATATATACCATATATATTTATATAGCCATGCATAAGAGCAATTTATATATATACATACACATATGGTTTACAAGAAATTGCCCTAAATAAAAAAAATTAAAAAAAAAGCCCGAAAATAAAAAAAGCCCGTTAGGCCCGCTAAGCCCACGAGCCCGGCCCATTTAGCCCAGGACCATATGGGCTTAGGCCCGTCACGGGCTGGTCCTACCCGTTGAGCCCACGAAGCCCGGGACCGCCAGAGCCCGGGACCGCTAAGCCCAGGCCCGTTTAGCCCGGCCCGTTTAGCCCATTTAGGCCCGGGCCCGGGACCACATACAGCCTTACCCTAATGTAGGCAACCGGGACCCTTTTAACCTCTAAGCATCTCCATAAGACCTCCCTAGGAACCCTATCGTACGCTTTCTCTAGATCGATAAACACCATGTGAAGATCCTTCTTCTTATCCTTGTATTGTTCTACCATCCTCCTAATAAGGTGGATAGCTTCTGTCACACCTCCTTTTTCACTATACCCCGAAAGGGTATAAAAGAGTTTTTTCAATTAAAGGACAATCGAACGGGATTTATTTAAAAGATTCAGAGTCGCCACTTGGGAGATTTATGGTGTCCCAAGTCACCGGTTTAAATCCCGAATCGAGGAAAAGAATGACTCTGTTTGACAGTCCGCGAACCAGAAATCCGAGTAAGGAATTCTGTTAACCCGGGAGAAGGTGTTAGGCATTCCCGGGTTCCGTGGTTCTAGCACGGTCGCTCAACTGTTATATTCGGCTTAATTATCTGATTTTAGTACATTTTGAACCTATGTGCAAATTTTAACTTTTAACCACTTTTATCCAATTTTAAAGAAGATTGAACGTCGTTTAAAACGTATCTTTGGATCGCGCTACATGAAATGCACCCGCGATCCTAAACACATTTTATTCAATGTTTTGAGATTTGATTTGGGTCACATGAAATGCACACCCGAGTTTAGGAAGGTAAAATTATTAAAGTGCACGCCTAAAGCAACGACGCGTTTTAACTTTGCGAGGGCCATAAAAATTAACTAAATGGCACGCCTCGAATTCTAAAGATTTTAAAGGAAATAATTAAACGAGGGCCAAGCATTTGAAATTTTTGTTTGGCATGGCACACCTCGATTCCAAACTAAAACTTGAAGGGCCATAAATTATTTGCAATATCTAGTATGGCTCACCCTCAATCCAATTAATGGGCTCAATTATAACTAAATGTGGTTAAAGGTTCCTAAGGGCCATTTATTTAGCAACCAAGAGCCACAAACGGACTTCCCAAGTGAAGTCCAAAACCGGGCCAGTCGGGCATTTCATGAGTGAACTTGCAGCCCAAATTATGTTCAAGGAGGCTGTCAAGCTTGGGCCCAGAAATGAGCCCAAATAGAAACAAACCGGCTCAACGAGGGGTAAGGTCCCTAGTTTGAGTCCACAGGTCACGACATGAGTTTGATTTGTTGCCTTTCATTTTGTTTTTAAACTGATCAAAGCGAAAGGCATCAGTATTCAATAGTCATGAACACAGCCTTAAACTTTTTGGAAAACCACACAATCATTAAAATCAAAGCTCCTGAACTTTTCAATTTATTTGTAAACAACTCCATTCACACTTACAATCCCTTGAACGTTTCTGAAAACCATGCGTGAAAATAGGTAACCAAGCTAAACTGTCGCTATATCCATAAACCAGAATCCATCTGCACATAATTAAAACTGAATAAATGAGGTATGAAATCTGAGATCAATTCATGCTAAAACAAATTTCTATAACGTTCAGGCCCAGAATCAACAAAAATCCTATGCAAATCTGAGTCCATACTAACATGGATTACTAACCTATATCAGGCATGTTCCTCAAAAGAAACACACTCAAAGAACAACATTAAACCAGTCCAAATCTCACAGCATTCATTATCGACACAGCTCAATTCACACCAAAACTCTAAATACCACTTAACAAATCATGTATAGAGCTGTTTCATAAAGAACAAGTATGCTAACCAAACAAACACCTTCAGGACAGTCCTACTTATACATGCCAGAAGAGGATGGAATTTTCAATTTCAGCCTAGTCGAGTAGTGTCCTAGTTTCAGAACAAACAGATGCTACAAACGATTATACTCAAGTAATTAAACTAGCTTGGGGCAATAAACCAAAACACAATAAGATGATATAGCTAATAAACAACAAGGGGTCAACCCTTTACCATTTCATAACTCGAATTACATGACTCAAACCAAGCTGAAACCAAACATCAATTATATTTTTCATACACTACACTTATCTCCTACATAAAACCAAATCCATAACTCAGCCTGTCATTCAATGAGTTCTGAAGAAATACCTGGGAATAAGAGAAAACAGAGATGAAGAATCAGCAGTAAGAACAGCAGGAATCAGCAGCAAAACAGCTAGCAACACAGACTTCAAACCCAGAAATAAACCAGTTTCAAATAGACCTTGACCCAACCAACTTCAAACCAGACCTTGATGATTCAAATTCAAACCATTTTTACCCCAGAAGAAAACAAGAATTGTTTCAGAAAAGAGAAGCCCCAGAAATCACAATCAAAACTCAATGGAACAATATTTTCACTGAAATTTAGCCTATTCTCCAGAATCTGATCTTTTAGCTCTTAAAGTCTCTAGAATCTAATGTATTTTCAGCCCTAAATTCTGTAGGCTCTCTCTCTATCAATCTGTTTCAAATTGTCTGTTGAATGTGTATCTATGTGTGTGTGTTTCTCTCTGATTTTCAGCCTTTTAATAGGCAGCCATTTAGTGCATTCTCCATTACCAATCCCTCTTTTCATTTTAAAATGATTCCACTTAACTCAATTAGTGCACTTCTAACCCTACCACTATTAGAATCTTCTTAAGTTAGGTGAACATCCCATTAATCCGAACAATCCCTAGATTACCCCCTTAAACCTTATTAATTACCTCCCAGCCTAAAATAATGTAGGCCAAGCATTATTCTTCAAACCTGGGTTTAAATGAATGGACTTTCAGTGCCCAGGTTTGCTTTACCATAGACCCAACAGGAAATCCTCAAATCCAGTATACAAAAAACCAAGAAAAATCAACCACATAAAGGTTTAAACATTGGAACCCTAAAATGGTGAGCTCGACATCATTGATTAATTCAAACCATACTGGCTAGAAAATGGAACCTGATAATATATTACAACATGGGCTTACTGGTGCCATTTAAATCAGAATTCTAATTAAAAAAAAAAGAAATTGCTCTAACGATTTGAATTAACCATGACAAACAAATGAAAAAACGAGTGGTAATCAAGTCGAGACCAGAATAACAATAACAAAAACAACAAAAAAAAAACAGAGCTAAAAACGAAGCGGACATACCGTCAAAGAAGGGAATGCACTGTCTATTTATCTACCAGACACGTAAGAGGGATTTGATGAACAACCTCGATCTTGTGAGTCTTTGGTCTTGCATGAGGTCAGGGAGTCTCGAAATGACCCGAAATTGAGGCTAGTCAGTTGTTCTTGCCAAGAACAACTAATCAACCTATATTTCCGACCATTTCGAAGCCTGAAACCCAACAAAACCAGTGGTTTCTGACTTGTCATAGGATTTGGGGTTTTAGGGTTCCGAACTTTGATTCGAGATTCGAAGGGATTGAGGGGGATTTGAAGGGAACGGGTTATGGATTTAGGCAGAGGAATCCATGGCGATTTCATGGTGTAATTTTGGGACCGATTTGAGGCGGCGCTGCCACCGGAGAACGGTGGAAAGGGTGGCGGCTACTAGGGTTTACCCGTCTCTGAAGAGACGAGGTGAGAGATGAGTGAGTGGAGGGGGGTTGGGGTATATTAATCGGGGGTATTAACACGAGCCGTTAGATGGGGATGAAATCAACGGCTCAGATCAAAGGCCATTTTAACGGTGTCGTTTGGTTTAAGTGGGGAATCGGGCTGGGTCAGGGGACGGGTCGGGTTATGGGTGAGACGTACTGGACCGTTTGATCAAACACGATCAACGGCCCTGATCAAATTTACTCAAACAACGTCGTTTGGGGTGGCGACACGGTTGGACCGGGTAGGGGGACAAGTTTGGGCTGGTTTAGTGGGGTTTTTGTTTGGGCTTTGATGAATTTGGACCAAAAATCAGTATTTTCTTTTTTTATTCCCTCTTTTTCCTTTCTTTTTCTAATTCTTTTTTTTTGAATTAATACTAAAAATAAAACCTCAATTAATTCCTAACCCCAAGATATCCTAGAAAATTAAATTAGTTAATCCTAAAAACAATTAACACAACTAAATTAAATAGCAATTAAAGGAAAAATTACTAAAATTAAAAAGACAAGAATAAACTATTTTTTTTGTGATTTTTCCATTTTATAAAACACCTAATTATTAATTAATTCAAAAATATCAAATTAAATCCCAAATGCAATTAAAATATATTTTCGTATTTTTCATTACTAAATAAAATAGCAAACACAGACAATATTCACACAATAACAGAAAATGCCACTAAAATCCACAAAAATCGCAGATAATTGGAAAAATTATTTTGTTTTGAATTTTCTGGGAGTAACTCATAGGGCAAAAATCACGTGCTCACAGCTGCCCCTCTTTGCCCGTAAACACGAAGAGTTTTCGTGCAAAGACAAAGTGAGCGGATACGAGCGATTTTTGCCCGTTTGAATACTCCATGTGAAGCATTTTTGAAAGATTTGACCGAACCTCTGCTTCAAAGGGTTCCTACATATCCTTGGCTAAAAAGGAATCAGGTCAATGTAGTTCGGGAGTTTCGGTAGCTGGGACTACCATGAAGTTGTGATTTCACTGTTACTGCTGCTGCTGCTGATACTGCTTACTGACCTCCTTATTACACCATGCTAAAAAATAAAGAAGCTAGACTAAGCTATGATTTATGAATTACAAAGATTTATTTGCAAACTTGATCTTGTGACTGCTGTTGCCTTGTTGCCTTGTATGTTCCTCCGAAGTTCCTTTGTTGCTGACTTGAATTGTAGTCTTCCCTTTTCCTCGGGTGGGTGCCTGATTGCTGTTCTTGAAATGTATTCCCATGCTCTCCAGGCGGGCTCCTGACTTCAAAACTTGAAATGTATTCCCATGCTCTCCAGGCGGGCCCCTGACTTCAAAACTTGAAAGTATTCCCATGCTCTCCAGGCGGGCTCCTGTCTTCAAAACTTGAAATGTATTCCCATGCTCTCCAGGCGGGCTCCTGACTTCAAAACTTGAATGTATTCCCATGCTCTCCAGGCGGGCTCCTGATTGCTGAACTTGAAAATATTCCCATGCTCTCCAGGCAGGCTCCTGACTTCAAAAATAGACAAAACAAAGAATTTGAAAGCTAAAACTTGAATTGTACTCCCTTGTTCTCCAGGCTGGCTCCTGACTTCAAAACTTGAATGTATTCCCATGCTCTCCAGGCGGGCTCCTGACTTCAAAACTTGAAATGTATTCCCATGCTCTCCAGGCGGGCTCCTGACTTCAAAATAGACAAAACAAAGAATTTGAAAGCTAAAACTTGAATTATACTCCCTTGTTCTCCAGGCTGGCTCCTGACTTCAAAACTTAAATGTATTCCCATGCTCTCCAGGCGGGCTCCTGACTTCAAAACTTGAATGTATTACTTTTATCCTAAAACCCGTGTTGCCTTCCCTGTTCTTCAGATGGGTACCTGACTTCAACAAAATAGACAAAATGAAAGAAAATTTTCTGCCCCAGTTTGATAGCTGGGCGCATCTATGAGTGTTAATTGAATTATAACCAAATATCACTAAGAATTTGAAAGCTAGGTCCCATTATCCAGTGGGGTCCCGACAACTTTTAGATACACGATAATTTTACATCTAAGCTATATCTTTTAAAGGTATGACTTCCGCTAAATCTTGTTATCTAAGCAGACCTTAAAACTACGTCCCATTATCCAGGAGGGTCCTGAAAACTCCTAATTGAATCCTATCTTAAACATGCAAACTTTGAAACCATCTTATATTTCTTTGGGGTATATTTATGCTAAATTATGTTACTCATGATAGTTTTGAAATTTAGACTAAGTCCCATTTTCCAGGAGGGTCCTGAGAATTTATGCGATCAAACCTGTTTGGTACTTGTTCTTTCTTCGCGGAAGGTTTCTCCGCCATCAACGGCATTTCCTGCCCCTGTTTCAAATCAAAGAAAAATCTGGTCAGTTTGGAGTGTGATGACTGGTTGTGATACTCTTGCTGTGGATGGTTTTCCCCTTTCTCCTTTCCATGCTCTGTTTTGTCCGACCGCCTTGAACTTGGACAAAAATTTCCGACCTTCTGACTACTCCTTAGCCACAAACTTCCCAACTATTGATTTCTTATCTGTCCCCATACCTTTTCATGAAATCTTAAACCATTCCATCATTTGGGCTTTCAATGACGCCTTTTACGTCCTATTACCTTATCTTAGGCCTGTCCTAGCCACACTTTGCTTTGCACCATATTGGAAACTGGTAGTAAACTCTGAAAATCCTTCTTATTTGTTAAAAACAAACTATTATCGAAAAATCCTTAGCCAAAAGAAATGAAATGCGATGATTTCAGAAGATAGAAAATAAAAAAGAAAATCTTCCTTTAGAAGAATGTTTGAGAGAAGAAAAGACTTATCTGAATGGGATAATCGATCCCAATGATCATGTTGTGCATTTCGGATTAATCAACCCAGTCTATTAAATCAATCAACTTTCCAATTGTCTTGCTTTGCGCTTCAAGATTTCTACAACCCAATTCTTTTGCTGAATTACCATCTTTGTTCGGCTTCGTGCTTTGACGTATCTTTGTCGTCAACCTTATCACATTTGTCCCTTTCTCATTTTTATTTCTCTCAACTCCTGTCGCCTTATGGTGCCTGTGAGGGTTTTCACCGATAAGACTCTCTCATTTTTATTTTTCTTAACCTCCGTTGCCTGGATAGCCTATACCCGCCTCCTATGGCTCCTACACACCTGTTTTTTGAAGATTCAAGGGCTGACCACGACGAAGTTTGGTCCAGGATTCGTTTGATTCGAGTTCTACGGCCATCTCCGGCCTTGCTCCGGCGTGCCATGGCTGTTCGAGCCTGATTTTGACTTCTCCGGCTTAGATCAATGACTTTTCCAAGCCTTTCTCACTACTAGGGTTCTTCTGAAACCCTAACCCTTCGAGGTTTTTCCAATTCCTTTAGATCCTTTGTATATTTGTGTTTTCTCTAAGCTCTTAAGCATTTTTCTCGAAGTCCTTTCAAAACTACACTTTCCGAACCTTCATCTTTTTTCGATCTAGGGTTTCGTCAAGTTGTCCTTTAAAATTTCTCCGATCTTTAGCATGTTTTACTGTATTTCTTATGTGTATTTTCTATGTGTTTCTTCTACTGTGTCCTATGGTATTTCTTCTACTGTGCTTCTTCTATGTGTTCTTCTATTATGCTACTGTATTTCTTATGTAGTGTCTCCTACCGCATTTTTATGCTGTTTCTCCTACTTTGATTCTTATACTGAAAGATGCTTGTCAAAAGTCTCATTTTCTTTCTAAGATTCTGGAAGTTATTTCGTCCGTATTTTTTTTCCTTGATTACTTGCCCTCTCATCACTGCACTCGATTGATGGTAGAAACTCTAGAATTTGAGGGTTCTTCCAAGTTTGGAAACCATTGGCTGTTTGATTTGTTTGAACTGGTTTTTCAAAACCCTAACTCTTTCAGACCTACTTCGAGTCTCTGAACTGAGTTTTGGATTCCTCGTTTTTCATACGATTCTGATTTTTTCTAAACTCCTTTATACTGGATCCTTTGTATGCCATTAGATGCTACTTCTCTTCTACATTGCTAACCTATGTGACAACCATGCTTCTGTGGTCTATTTTCTACTGATTTTACAATGACACAACATCTTCTTTCATGCTTGACATGTCTGTATGCTCTTTATATGTGATGAACTTCCCTCTAAAATGGCTTTCAAATTTGTGATTAGTTCAGACTTCCTTCTTAATAGGTCTGATTGATTTTCTTTCCTTGTTTGCTGATTTTTCCTGTGACTCGACTTAAGTTAAAACCTTTCTCAGCTTTTCTGACTTGGTTCATTCATGGACCAATAATTACAAAATCTTTGACTTTTGATTTACTGGATACTAATTGATTTTCTTACCTTATTTGTGCAACCGTGTATTTTCAAAATTCTGTCCTCAAATAACCTTTTATGTATTTACCCCTAATTGCCTACTTTACACAAATTGCTCGTTTGATTTCTTTCCTTAAATAACTTTTACCGTTTCAATCTGAATTCCTTAATTAAAGGAAGTCTTTTGTGATTGATTCTTAATTGATAATCAGTTCCTTAACTGTTCTCTTACCTTATTTCTGCCTGATTTTCACACTATAAAGGCACGACTCTTTCACAAACGCATCACACATTCACAGTCTTTCTGAACTCATATTTATACACAATAGTATTCTCTCTTGTCTGCACTGTGGCCTGTTTACACGACCTACTACTTTTCTCAATTTGTCTCTTTGAAACTGGTATGTCCAGATTTAATCTTTAGCACCACAACAATGTGTATTTACTGCTTTTGTATCCACGTATACTTATTGTTTCTGTAGAGTTCAACACTTAAAATTAGCATGCTGATTTCATTCTGCTTGTTTCTATTATGAATCCCAAAACCCCTGCCCCTATGTGTTTGAGCTATGGTTTAAGACATGAGAATATTCAAATTATTGTCCATGAACTGAACTTGATCCCTTGGGATCCTAGCCTCTAATAGTGTGATTTTAGCAGGCTTAGGGGGTATACTAGC